TTGCTATTTGAAAAAAATGAGTCACACCCTACCCCCTACCCTGTTAGGGGGGTAAAAAAATATGTTTGATGTAAAAAATTGCGGAACCGTTGTTAACAATTATTAGCACAAACAGAATATTTCTATCTATTTCGGTTTTAAAAATACAGATTTGTTTCAATACTTAATTTACACACTGTATATATATCTAATATATAAAATTCTCGTGTCACAGTGTTTGTCTGCAAACTCCTCCGGAACGACTTCACCGATCGTTATGAAATTTGGTGTGTAAATTCTGTAGGTATGCGAATCGGACGTAAACTATTTCCCGTTTCGAAATTCTTAAAAGGGCTCCGCCCCAGTGGCTCTGGAGTTTCCCATGTTAACCTTATGAGAAATGGAATTAATGAATCTTAACAGCTGTTTCAATTAAACAAGTTGGTTCTGTTCTATGATGTTCAATAGCATTAAAGTTAAAATTCTCGTGTCACAGTGTTTGTCTGCAAACTCCTCCGGAACGACTTCACCGATCGTTATGAAATTTGGTGTGTAAATTCTGTAGGTATGCGAATCGGACGTAAACTATTTCCCGTTTCGAAATTCTTAAAAGGGCTCCGCCCCAGTGGCTCTGGAGTTTCCCATGTTAACCTTATGAGAAATGGAATTAATGAATCTTAACAGCTGTTTCAATTAAACAAGTTGGTTCTGTTCTATGATGTTCAATAGCATTAAAGTTACAAGGATTACCAACAGGGTGCAGCACTATTATTTCTTTTACATTTATGACAACAGCTAATTTGCAACCAAAAGGTGAGTGAGCGTAGCGAACGAACTTCAACCTGGAGGCGAGTTACTGTAGCGAACGAGCTCCAACCTAAAGGCAAGTGAGCGCAGCGAACGAGCTCCAACCCAAAGGTGAGTGAGCGTAGCGAACGAACTTCAACCATGACGTGATTGAGCGATGCGAACGAGATCATCTTGAAAATTAAACGTAACGGTACTTTCTTTCCATCGGTCTGTCTTAGGGGAAACCTATAACTTAGGCGATACGAAGTTCGCCGGGTCAGCTAGTATAAATATATAAACATATAAATATTTTTCATATAAATATATATATATATGAATACGAACAGATGGTGTTTTTGGCCTCTAGGGACCTCAAAACGAAAAAAAAATCGGTCCCGCGTCTATGTCTTACCATGAGTACTACGGTAATAGCTTATTCCCTATATGGGAAATTCGCTAAAAAGATACTTTTAGGGTTATGTAATATTTTATCATCGTGTGAAATAATCTAAAATCGCCAAAAAATTACTTGCAAAGCGAACGGAGACTGTTGCATCGTTGAGACAGACTTAAGCCGCATGCTTCGGCATACACTGCAACTAACACTCAGCGTTCACGTATCACTAAAGCTACCATATCTCAGTAAATATTTGTTAAATATTAAAATATCCCTCAGCCGCAGCAAACCTGCCAACTTAGCAAATTTCCATTTGTCTGAATTGATTTTCAATTCTATTAAAATAACACTAGGTTTAACGAGTACCTAGGTTTGCTGCTACAAGGAAAGTAATAAAGTGTGTGTTTTAGTAAAATATTAATGGCTTAGTATGAAATAAATAAATCCGCCAAGTTTGATCAAAATATATCCATAAGCAAACCAACTACAACATATTATAATATTTTCCATAAGAATAACATGGGAATTATAAATTTACAATTTTTTTAAAATTTTCTCCATGACCAATAACCGTATAGATATACTAAATTATTTGTTTTTTTAAGTTCTTTTAAAAGGTCTAAAGAGAAATTGGGAATTTTTTTTATTTTGAGGGTCAAAAATGAGAAAAACTATTATTTACCCCATAAAACCACCCGTAAACCCCCGTTCCCATGGTCCGATCATGCTGGTTCGCAAACTCATTCAGGTTTATCCCGCCTTACACCTTTAAACCGAATTTCATCAAAATCGGACAAAAATTACTCAAGTTATCGCGTTCACGGACGTATATATATATATATATATATATAAAAATCTATCTATCTATATACATATATATAAATAATATAAATTTGAACGAATGGTGTTTTTGGCGTATGGGGACATCAAAATTAAAAAGTAAATCGGTCCCGGGCCTAGGTCTTACCGTGCCACCTACGGTAATAGCTACTTCCCTTTAGGGAAATTAGCTAATAAGGTGTCAATCGATTTGTACCTAAATCGTCTAAACAAAGTTATTCCTGTAAAATCTTAGCAAAATCAACGGTTTTTAAAGCAATTAAGAAACCAAACTTTAAATGATCGCCATTTTGTTTAATGAATTTTAAAAGTTGTCATAATATTGTTGTTGCTTTGTATAGTTGTCATAAATGTTTGCCCAAAGTTTTAATTTCATTTGTTTAACCACTTTTTAGAAAAAAATTAATAAGTGAAAAAACAAAATGACGGTTATGTGAGTAACTATAGCACTTCCGGACAATTTAAATATGATATTTAGATATGGTTTTTACCCAGGAATAATACTCTAACATTTTGATAGGGAGTTCTGAAAGACCCTGTATAATGCAAAATGATTCGACTTTGGGGATTTTGTTGGAACATAAAAACAAAAATATCGTGCAAAAATTAAAGAGTAGAAAAACAAACATGTACATGTACAAACAGATCCTTACAAATGCAAAGCAATTGGTGCAGGCTTAGACTTACTTTACAATACAGGTGGCTGAAATGTAACTTACACCCCCCTTAACTTTTCAACCATTTGAGATATTTGAAATCTGTTTGTGGCAACCTTCTAAGCTATGAGGGGCTACAATAATTATGGTCAGTTTTCAAAATTTTGCCCTTGTTGGTAGCGGGGGTAGGGGTTAGCTCAAGATTTTCAAATGACAAGTATAGTCGAGTTTGGTGTAATTTTACAGGTCTTGACGAAACAAAACAATTGACATAAAGAAAACTAAAATAGCTTATTCCCTATATGGGAAATTCGCTAATTGGCCCACTAATGACGTATATCCCCAATTCTAAATAACTCCCAAAACTCTTTATAGTCTTAAATATTTCGCCAATTTATTGACTTTTATTTTAGCTATAGATTACTTTCCGGGAGTTATTAGGGTTTGGGATATATGTCCTTAACTAAAGACAAATTTCAAAATAAATACATTTTAATGTTAAATTAAGAACCATGACTCATTGTAAAATTGTCAGATTTTGTTTAGTGATTAATAAAATCAAAGCTAAACATTCACTGAGTAATTTGAGACCAGAAAGAACTTGGTGACGTATTAACAACCCGAGTTATAAATCTTTTAATAAAAATATATTTCTAAAAAGTTAAATTTAATATTGTTCTAAGGTTTGCAGCTGGTCTTTAACTCGTCTGATTTTAATGATCAAGAGCTCAAATGAAAGCCCTTACATTACTGAATATTTTAAGCCTAGAACGAACTACAAGCGTCAATAAGAACTGGAGATATAAGAAAAATAGTTTTAAAAAAATTATCAAACTACGAAACGTTCATAAGAAATGTATGGTGGAGAGTTTTCGTTTGAATATATCTTCTAAATGAATAAAGATATTTAAAAACGGATTTCGGCATTGAAATCAGTGTAAAAATGTAGTTGGTTGGTAATGATGTGTCACAACACTATCATTACATTGAAAAAAAATTATCTATGTCCAATATGGCGGGTCCAAGATGGCGGCCAAAAACATGTTCCCTATCAAAATGAAGTACTAACCACCCAATAAATACAGGTGGTGGTCCCAAGTTAATATCTCGAAAAATGTGCATAAAAAATGCATGTGAAATATGTTTTTTTAATTTGTCCAATGTTGGAAAAAGCCGCCATTTTAAATTCTGATTTTAGTGGTTTTCTCGTGCACCGATTTTTGGCAACTTTTAGTATGTCATTCTGCAAACCCAACTCTACAAAATAAAACCATCAAACGTTTTCTTGCAATTTTTTTAACGATCCCTATGTAAGTTTGTTTAGTTTGCTTGGACTAGTTATACACCTAGACAATAATTAAAAATTTTTTAAAAGATATCTTTAAGTTTTTCTTTAAATGTTTTGCTAGATGCAACAACCTTCAGCCGTCGGGTAGACCATTGTACAACGAGGGACCAAAATATGAGAAGCTCTTCCTCCCAAGCTCTAGAGAAACTCTTGGGAGGTGAAGCCTCCCACCATGACGTGTCCTGCGCTGGGAAACCTCATCGCGAAGAGAAAGCCTCGTGAAGAGGATATTAAACGTTTTAGGGCGCCGTTTTGTTATTAGTGGGCCGATTTTGGTTTTATTCATGTCCATTGCTTTGTTTTGTCAAGACCTGTAAAATGATACCAAACTCGACTAGGCTATACTTGTCTTTGAAAATCTTGAGCTACCCCCTACCACCGCTACCCCTAAGGGCAAAGTTTTCAAAATTGACCATAATTATTGTAGCCCCTCATAGCTTAGAAGGTTGACACAAACAGATTTCAAATATCTAAAATGGTTGAAAAGTTAAGGGGAGGGTGCAAGTTACTTTTCAGCCACCCTGTATACCTGTTTTCATGCAGACAGTCCAGTAACTAATGAATATCCAGAGTAAATAAGTATTTAGTTTCATCACAGCTGTGACGACATAAGGGACGATCGACTCGGGTTGATAAAAAATCTTAAGTCATTAGCGATGTCCATTAAAACTACAAAGAGACATTTCAGATCCTCGGGAGTGGGCGACACAATTAACGACGCTCCGGTTTTATTTACCTACGATATTTTTTGTCGAGCTATTTATTCTCGGCGAACTTCCGTCAATCCATGACGCAGTGGCGTAGTATCATCATTCGAGACATATCGTCCCAAATGCCGGACTGTAAAATACTGGCAAAACATAGGTACAGCGAAAATAACAATAATCCAAGAATAGGCGCGGCATAAAACAATAGTAGATGTCCGCGAGTTGGCACGGCGGCGGCGGCTGCGGCGTCGCGACGAGAGCTCAGTGCTACGCGAGCCGCGACGCGGGAATAGCAGCGTCGTGGTCAGCGTCGGCCGTCATGTAACCTAGCGCGATACCATGGCGGACCGTCCCCGTAGACCCAAGTACACCAAGACCAGTAGTAACAGTAGTACTAGTGTAGACCCAAAGCTGGAGGACATGGGTAAACCACGGCCCGACGTCAGTCCGGGAGGCTCTAAAGAGACACCGGAGAAGAAGAGAAGTCGGCCGAAGAGGGAAAGATGGCTCCTCACCCGCAAAACCTGGAGATACATGGCGGACGCTGGGAGAAGACTCATCCCGGAGGGACTCCAGAACAGGCCCGAGGATGTTCCAAGGATCGAGGCTTACTTCCAGGAAGTGTGCCACAAGGAACCGAGGTTTTTGCTGTGGAGGAAGCAGTCTTACCCGGGAGCTCTGGGGATCCGCCATCGCGGAAGATCGAGAGGAGGCAGAAAAAAGATCGGTGGTAGTTGTCGTGACAAAACTAGTTCTGCCGATGAGGCTGAGGATATCAAGAAAGGTGCCACTGCGAGGTTGACTCCTCAACAAGCACGTAAGTTAGGCAGTAAACTCGATCTAAAAAAATTGAAAGAAGATTTCCTCCTTGGAATTTCCAATACCTCGCAGCCTCAAAGTACAGTATCGTCTCCCGAGGAAGAGAGCAACTTACTTTTAGAAACGCTTGAAATGTACCTGAATGAAAAACCTTCCGATTCAAAGAGTCCTAGTACCTCGAGATCTTCGTTTAACCACGAAGAGCTACTAGAAAAACTTCGAGAACATTTGGACAGCATCGAGAGATTGGCTGCGGAGGAGCGAGCTCGAACTCCCAGGCCGACGAGCGTCCACTTCGAAGGTGATAACACGCAGAAAATGCTTTTAGAAACTTTAAGGAGATACTTCGGAAAATCAACTAACAGGGAAAAGGTTATCAGTGATATTTTAACAGATAGGAAATCACTCGAGGGGTTGTATTTCGATTTGAGAAAAGCGCGAGGGTTCAAAAGTGGCCGTAGCAGTGGTGAAAGTGTTGGTGCGGGTTATAGTGCGACAGCAGTTAGACGACAGTGGAAACCCAGAGGGGGTGAGAGGTCCTTCCTGTACCAGGACTTGCGAGAGGAGGACGCCGACGAAGAGGTTGGATCCTCAGACTCGAGACAAGAAGTGACGAGTGAAACGTCACCTCCTCCACTGATACAGATTAAACCTGACATTGAACCTCCGGTAAAGACGTTCGCGACGCAAACAGAAGCCATACCTGCCAGTGTCTTAGTGGCTATACAAGACGAGTTAAAAAGGTTAAAACTAGCTAAAGAAGCCGAACAGAAAGTGGAAGAGGATAAACCAAAGCCAAAACCATACACGAGGAGAAGTAGTGTGACGGATAACGACGACGTTTCACCTTCAGTAGGAGACACAATAAAGCGATATCTCCGGATGGCGAGGAAGAAAAGTGTGGACTCGGACAAAGCAGACAGGTTCAAAAGAGTGAATTACGATCAAAACATTAGAAACATAAGACCCAAGGGTGAAATAACGCAGATTGGAGACGACGACGGTCTCGACAAAGGAAGTCAAACGGAAGAGTCTTGGGTGGTGGCGTTAAAGGAGTTAAAGCTGGAAGACAAATTGTACGAAACGACCAGCCCGACCGAAGAGCATTTCAGCTCCAGGATCACTAGCTCCAGAAGCAGCGTGGACACCGGAGTGGAAGACCTCTCCTCTCCTCCTCAAACTCCAATTCCACCCACAAAATCGCCCTCGGGAATTTTACAAACGGGTCAAACGTTCTTGTCGAACCTGTTGCACCAAAAATCTCGTAACAACTCCTCTGTGTCCGCAGTGCCTGGTGCCATGCAGAAGTCCAAGTCCACCTCCAGCGTGGTCGTCAAGAAGATCTGGAAGTCGAGGTCCAAGAGTCAGACGAGGGTGACATCTCCAACCTCTGCCTGGACTCCGCAGGTAACCGAGGTGTCTTTAGAGTGTTGTGTTCTAACATCTTGGCTTAACTTCGAGTAATGGCATGAGTTAAAAGTGTATTACTAATGAATAGTATTATGGCATTAAATAATGTAATTTCAAGGACACAAAAAATGTAATGTAATATTTTAAATTGAGTGTGTGTATTTCGTATATAAGTTGATAGTGCTAGGAGTGAGTTGTTTGGAGAAAATAAGTTTGGTAGTAGTTATAATAAAAGATTTCCGTAGTCTTTAGAAACATTTTTGTCAACAATGCTAATGAAACTTTTGTTACTCTGTATTACGGAAGGGCTTAGTTTTGTTTAACGCTTCTACATAATAATATAGACTAACCAACACAAGTAGACTTCTCAATCCAATTGTAAATTTTGAAGCTCGTTTTTCGTACCTTGTTCTTGTACGGACTGGGCGCTAGTGTCGACGAAATTTTGTTTCTATTATTTTAGGTTTAATTTATTGATTTTTGCTTTACTGTTTGGTTATATAACTAGAAGACGAGTTTTCTTATGTGATTGGATCGTATTATTTGCCTTGTTACATATTCAGAATACTGAAATACACTCTGGTCCCAGTAAACTAGACCCTTGCCGCCACTGTACATTTCTTTACTTATAAACAATGTTGCTGATTCACGGATTTAGAACCCGTGGTATACCTAGCGATACCTTAAACGAGGTTTTAAATGACTGAAATAACAATAAATAAATTGTTAACACGAATTCTGCAGTACACAGTACAGAACTAACAATATAATTTTCTTCAGCATAAGGATGAGAAATCTACTAAGGGAGTAGGTTTATCTATGATAATATACATTCTACTCTCAGGTGCATTAACATTGAGTGATTATTCCAAAATAAGATTCTTTATTCTCTTTTCATAAGTTAATTTTTTCACAAGAATTCTAATAAAATATACTAAAAATAAAAGTTTGTTACTCTGTTATTTTGCATAATGCATAACTAGATAACTACCTATACGAGTATGGATACAGATTAATTATAAATATGGTTATTTTTTTACCTAAGACCGTGTTTTAAAGTAACCGTTTCAGTTCAGTTCTTAGAATTTAAAAGTTTTCACAAAACATCATTGTTTACTTATATAACAGCATAGTTTTACTTAACAACACGGGTAACGGACCAATGAGGATCAATGATCGAGAGAGAAGAAGTAAAATTGTAATGCTTTGAACATCAACTAATCAGCTGTTTACCAATTGGTTAAAAATTGGTACAATTAGTGATTGGTACAATGAGTCGTTGCATCAATGTCAGTGGCAATGAGAGGTTATAAACGAAAACATAACCTCTTTTAGAAGTTTTGAGTAGTAATGATTGTTAATTAAATACCGGTCGTAAGTAAAGTAGTGTACGCAACTCGCGTAAATATTATTAACGACACCCGTAGACGTTTTTATGCCACTCGCCAAGGCTCGTACCTTAAATTTTCTACTCGTGTCGTTAACGCCATTTTTACGCCATCTACGCAAACTACCATTTCCTATCAGGAAAGCTTTTAAACTTAATGTTTTTGTTTTCAGTAGGACTAAGTATTAAAATATTTTTTTTTAATGTATTTATAATAGTTGGATGTTATGATGATGAAAGTAAAACGAAAAGAAGTTTTGTTTAAACAACAATCCAAGAACTGATTCTATGACTATCCAACGTTACAATGTAGTTAGACTATAGTTGACACTTCAATTGCAAAATAGCGGGAGGGCCTAAAATATTAGCTTCCTAAGATATTGGTTTGCTATGTTAGTTATAGCATAGACTAACCAACACAAGTAGACTTCCCATCCCATTGTAAATTTTGAAGCTCGTTTTTCGTGTCTAATTCTTGTCCGGGGACACTGGTGTCGACGAAATTTTGTTTTTATCTTTTTAGAGTTAACTTAATGATTTGTGCTTTACTGTTTGGTTACATAACTAGAAGGTGAGTTATTGTTGTATCGTTTTATTAGGTTAAACGGGGTTTTAAAAGCCTGAAATAACAAGAAACGAATTAACACGACCTCTTTAGTGCACCGGACAGAACTAACGATAAAATTGGCTCCAGCTGTTCCATAAGGATGGGAAATCTACCAAGGAAGTATATTTTATCTGCACATTTTTATTTCAGCTGTGGTTTTTAATACGGACAAAATGAGAGCATTCTATTGACTGAGGAAGGGTAGCCATCGGTGTTTGTAACCAGGGCGAATCACATCGGTGACACTGTCAAAGATTTTGCTTGGAATGCGATTACATACACCTTAAACATCTTTCGTTAGAATTTAAGGCATTTATAGTTTTATTTTGTGAACAGAACTATTTTTCGATTAATAAACCTTCATTCGATTTTTCATTATCAGCAAGTTTGGTTGGTTAGGTTAGGTTATGATAGTTTAGTTTTATAATAAAAAAAATTATAATTTTAACTCAAATTTTGTCCGTATTCAAAAAACTGCAGCTGAAATAAAAATTGTGCGTTTTATCTATGGTTAGATGTTAGATCATTTTTTAGGTTAGAAATTTATTCAGTGTACATATGAGGGAGCATTCAACACGTACTAAAACAGTTTGATCTAGCTCACAAAATTTTAAATTGTACATTGCATCAATATTTTTCAGTTTATCTACACTTATGGTGAGGTTTGTTGTTAGTATTTGACATGACCATTTGCTTTAAAACAATAACCCTATTACAGTGTTGTCAAATTGAAGAAGTATTTAAAACAATGTAATGCACCAACAATGTGCTCTTACACACTAAACACTAAACGTAAATTAAATTCATTAGAATGCAGTTTTTCAGACTACCTAGCCAATAATGACTACTATTAGTTAGGTTCAAAAGTAATGTTTACATGCAATGTTTAAAAGCGAAAATCTAATGCCTGTGTAATATGAATCGTATAGTTAAAAGTGTAAAACACCATAGTCATTACTGTTGTTTCTTGAAATGGGTCTACATTAAAAGGTTTAACAGATTATGGCTCACTTGGACAACCATTTGGGTACTTTCCTGTTAAAGGGAACATTCATTATTAACAATGATTTTTTTTCTCGATATATCGATATTTTTTTCCGACCCATTACAAGTTGACAACTTACCTTGTTTAGGCTAAAATAGTCTATTACATGGATTAAGAAATTAAACTGTTCTAAGCTAACTTAACATAACCAACCAAACTTGCTGTACCATTTAAAAATTCCGTTTGATAATAGAAAAGGCAAGTTAAACACGGAATTTTTAAATGTTACACAGCAAGTTTGGTTAGGGTACTTTCCTGTTAAAGGGAACATTCATTATTATCGATGATTTTTTCGATATATCGATATTTTTGTTTTCCGATCCATTACAAATTGACAACAACTAACTACTGATCTTGTTTAGGCTAAAACAGTCTATTATATGGATTAATAAATGAAACTGTTCTAAGCTAACCGTTTGATAACAGAAAAGGCAAGTTAAACACGGAATTTTTAAATGTTACAGCAAGTTTGGTTAGTTAGGTTAGGTTATTTTTTTAGAACAGTTTCATTTTATTATTGTTTGTTGATACTGAACAATATTTATCGTAGTTGTGAGCTGATATGTTTCGATTTGTTAATATCGATATATCGAGAAAAAATCATCGATAATAATGAATGTTCTTTTTAACAGGAAAGTACCTTGGTTAGTTATGTTAGGTAATTTTTTTTATAATAGTTTCATTTCATTATTGTTTGTTGATACTGAACAATATTTATCGTAGTTGTCAGCTGATATGTTTCAATTTGTTAATATCGATATATCGAGAAAAAAAATCATCGATAATAATGAATGTTTCCTTTAACAGGAAAGTACCAAAATTTTTCTAATGAGCTCACAAAAAATAAACATCACAACATGTCATGTTGTTGAGTTTTCCATCCGACAAAATCAATCGTCGCTCAAACGGATAATAAGTTTAGACTTGTTACTGTATCAAGTTGTCAGAAATGCTTTTATTTAAGAATAACAATTTTCAATGAGCCACTCACAGAGAGAGAGCTTCAGTCTATAATTCTATTTTCTCCCTTGCTTTCGTTACTGAAATAGTTTTGTGATAAAAACTATGCGTTAGTTTGAAATAAGTTAGCGTATCATTTTGACTTTTTGAGTCGGTAGCTTATACAGCACATGCTGTTGAGGCTCAATTTAACAACTTTAGTTTTCATTATAAAACCGGCTTCAACTTCATAAACATACTATGAACTTCTATCACTTATAATAAACTAATATTTAATATTACTACTTATAATCAACTTCTACGATAAACAATTATAACTACTCTGGCATTGTAACTAAAAGTGGCCATAATAACAGCAAAACATTAAGTCAACATCAAACACACGAAATTTGTTCCCCATATATTTCTTATGGAAGTTAAAATTGATTTTTCTTTACCATGTCTCGAATTAAAGGTATGAACGTACAGATTTGCCATCAAGCATCGGCATAAATGAATCTATAGTCTCACTCTACATATACGTAAACGAAATTTGCTCCCCATGTATTTCTTATGGGAGTAACTTTGGGTTTTCTTTGCCGAGTTCGTTTGGCTCTTCTACCCGACCAATTTTCAGGATTGAGGTCTCGAATTAAAGGTATGCACGTACAGATTTGCCATCAAGCATCGGCATAAATGAATCTATAATCCCACTCGCCATATACTTAAACGAAATTTGCTCCCCATGTATTTCTTATAAGAGTTAAATTTGGGTTTTCTTTTCCGAGTTTGTTTCGCTCTTCTACCCGACCGATTTTCATGATTGAGGTCTCAAATTTAAGGTATGCACGCAAAGATTTCACATCAAGCTTTGGCATATATATAATTTACCTACTGTATTACTCGACCAAAAAACCAAATTTGATTAATTTTTTAATCTTTACATCAATTTAAGATGTATTTAACCAAATATAACGATATAATCCTATATATTTTGGTATAAGAAACTTCAGTGAAAG